ACATCATCCTCGTGGCCTCCTCTGGACTCATCCCAACAGGTCCATGTCTTTCTTGTGTTGATATTCCCACCCAGCTTGTAGTTGTCCACTTTTACCTCCTAAGGAGGCTGAGACCCCCCACAAGGAACCCCAGCATGAAGCATCAACGCCCACAGGCTCCCAGCAGAACAGCAGCTCTGGAGGAAAAGGAGATACAAGTAAATAACAGGAGGGCAGCGTCTGTCCCCGCTTTTCCGAGCCCCCCGCGGGACCTGCTGCAGATGGGAGTGTTTATAAGCAGCATCTTGAGAACATTCCTCCCTCCCGTGCAAGGCATTTCCTGGAGATAACACACTCCTCAGTAATGATTTTGCAGCATTATCCCTATTAAAGGGTCATTCGGGGAAAGTGTGATGGAAATTAGAAATTATTCAGGTCTGCCAAACAGTATTTAACTTTCAAGCAGCTCTTAATTAGAAGCCAGGAGCCATTTATACAAGGGCTGAGATTTGCATAAGAATCTGCATATAAAACCCAGCAACTGGAAAGATTTAGTGATTTATATATATATTTTTCTTTTCCCAAGTGGCAAAGCAGCGTGCCCAGGTCAGAGCGCGTGGCAGGACCCTGGGTTGCAGTCCAGGCTCTGCCAGTGATTTTAAGTGTGGCCTCAGGCAAGTGATTTCCTCTCCCAAAGCTCCAATTTTTCCATCCGTAACATGGAAATTAGCATGTGCCCAAACTTTCTAGGTGGCAGCTCGTGTTTGCAGAAGGGGCTGGCACTGCCAGGTGAGAAACCTTGGAAAAGAAAGCAAGGGAGTCCCTGCACCTGCAGCTCTCAGGGCATCAGGAGCTGCTCCCGAGTCACCTGCAAATTGGGGTGATGGCAGAATTTCTCTTCAGCTGAAAATCTCCTGGGTGCATCTAGGCTAAAAGCCAAAGACTGAAAATGAGACTTCAAATACCTCCAGGTTGTTCAGTCCTTCCTCTCACCTCTGGTTGGTGGGAGATTTGATGATGGATCCCAGTTTTAGCTCCTCAGCTGGGTGTCTGGCAGCTTGGGGACACGGGTGCCATCTCTGCACAGGACAAGAGCAGAAATTCAGAGTGGAGCTCCCGGTGGTGGGTGCTCTTTGCTGAAAACCATTGGCCAAAACCAGCCCTCAACCCTCATTACTGTATTGCTGTGCCCTCTAACTGGTTTATTCCTGGAATGCCAGTGGTATGGCTGGGAAATGCTTAACCAGCTGGGAAATGCTTAACTAGCTGGGAAAAAAACCCAACCTCTCACTGTCGCTCTGGTTAACTATTCTCCTGCCCAGGTCTTGCCTCCCTCCCCCTCTTCCTGTTCCTTTCCTGCCCCTCCCTGGGGTCACTCCCTCCACTGATCATCACTCTCCTCTCTCTTTGCTCACAGCTGGACAAGGGGGATGTGACCGCGCTCAGCCTGCCCACCACCACCGGGCATGGTGACACCGATGGCACCATCTGCTTGGATGTCCCTGATGGTACCCCTGACCCTCACAGGACAAAAGCTGCCATCGAGCACCTGCACCAGAAGATCCTCAAGATCACTGAGCAGATCAAGATCGAGCAGGAGGCTCGAGATGACAACGTGGCCGAGTACCTGAAGCTGGCCAACAACGCGGACAAGCAGCAAGCCTCCCGCATCAAGCAGGTTTTTGAGAAGAAGAACCAGAAGTCAGCACAGACCATCGCGCAGCTGCACAAGAAGCTGGAGCACTACCACAAGAAGCTGAAGGAGATCGAGCAGAACGGCCCTTCCCGGCAGCCCAAGGATGTCTTCCGGGACATGCACCAGGGTCTTAAGGACGTGGGTGCCAACGTTCGTTCCAGCATCAGTGGTTTTGGTGGTGGTGTGGTAGAAGGTGTCAAGGGAGGGCTCTCAGGTCTGTCCCAGGCCACCCACACTGCCGTGGTCTCCAAGCCCCGAGAATTTGCCAGCCTCATCAGGAACAAATTTGGCAGCGCAGACAACATTGCTCACCTGAAGGACACGTTGGATGATGGGCACCCGGAGGAGGCTTCGCGGGCTCTCAGTGGCAGTGCCACCCTGGTCTCCAGCCCTAAGTATGGCAGCGATGACGAGTGCTCCAGTGCCACCTCCGGCTCGGCTGGTGGCAGCAACTCAGGGGCAGGACCCGGTGGCTTGGGGAGCCCCAAGTCCAACACACTGGACAGCCACCACAATAACTTCGACACCATCCTGGAGGAGCTCCGGGAGATCAAGGACAGCCAGTCACACCTGGAGGACTCCATGGAGGACCTCAAAGCTCAGCTGCAGCGGGATTACACCTACATGACACAGTGCTTGCAAGAGGAGAGGTACAGGTAGGGACGGGCAGGTACCAAGGTGCCAGCACACATCACCCAGGATGGCTCTTTGGGGACCACAAGGCCACCATCCTGGCCGAGTGGTTCCCCAGTGTCAGGGGAAGGAGGGCAGGGGGGTCCATGGGAGGACCTGCCCACCCCAGAATCCCTCCACCTCCCCGTGTGCAGGTACGAGCGCCTGGAGGAGCAGCTGAATGACCTCACTGAGCTGCACCAGAATGAAATGACCAACCTGAAGCAGGAGCTGGCCAGTATGGAGGAGAAGGTGGCCTACCAGTCCTACGAGAGGGCACGGGACATCCAGGTAGGGGAGCACGAGAACGCAGACCCTGCTGCACCCTCCATGCACAGGGCGAGGGAGGGAACCTGGGCTGGGAGGGAGGGTGGCCAAGGAGGACCCCTTTTTCTAGCACCCTCTAGATGATCTTTAAGGTCCCTTCCAACCCAGACCATTCTATGACTCTATGCTCACCAAAACCCCTGTCTGTGCCCCAGTGAGTCCTCACTGTGCTGAAGTCCCTGGGTGCCCAAGGCAGGACAAGGCTCCAGATATGGATGGCTGCAGCGCTGGGCTGTTACAAGCCACTTGTGGACCAACACATAGTCCCTGCTGTCCTCGTTTGGGTCATCATCCCTGCTGCAGGAGGTGCTTCTGGCACCAAGACCTTCCCCAGCACAGGCATGCCTTAAACATCACATGGGCCAAGGGTTTGCAGAGGGAAACCCCTTTCCAGCTGAGATGGTCACCCATTGGAGCTGCAGCAGCAAGGTAAGTACCAAAAGCCCTCACAGGACATCCCTTGGAGCCACTGGCCAACCCCGATGTGTGTCCCTTGCAGGAGGCAGTGGAGTCCTGCCTGACACGGGTGACCAAACTGGAGCTGCAGCAACAGCAGCAGCAAGTGGTGCAGCTGGAAGGGGTGGAGAACGCCAACGCCCGGGCGCTGCTGGGCAAGTTCATCAACGTCATCCTGGCCCTGATGGCCGTGCTGCTCGTCTTCGTCTCCACCATCGCCAACTTCATCACCCCGCTCATGAAGACCCGCATGCGCATCCTCAGCACTGCCTTGCTTGTCCTCTTTCTCTTCTTCCTCTGGAAGCACTGGGACTCCATCACCTACTTTCTGGAGCATGTCCTGCTCCCCAGCTGATCTGCAGCCCTGGAGACTTTCCATTTCCTGCAGAGGAGAGGGGGTGGGGGGGGAACAGTGGTCCAGAGCCTTCAGGTTGTTTCTTCACATGCTCGGTTTGGTTGCTTTCCCAGCCCTCCATCCTTGCTGCAGCCAGCAGCGACCGCTCGGAGCGTGGCATGGCAGAGCCAGGATCTGTCAGTCCTCTGGGATGTTTGGGGAAGGTGGGATAGAGAATGAGATGAAGTTTTGGAAGAAACTGGTAAATTTCTGGGGTATTGGGTTTTTCTAAGGTTTTGGGGATTGTTTTTTAAATGTCATTTCTGTTCTGAAAGTCTGTGGGAAGGAAGTCTTCTGCAGAGGTCTTCTGTAGGTGGGAAGGATTGAACCGGGCCAAATCCACCTCCAGGAGAACTTTCTGTGGAGAGAGGAGAAGGGTTATTTGGGGCTGGGTTTTCCCTTTTATCCTTGAAGACCATGGTGGCAAAAAGCTCAGTCCTGGGATGGAGTGAAAACAAAGCACTTGGCAAAGGAGAAAGCGGGTCCAAGGCAAATGCAGCAGGACATGCACGTCCCACCAGCCTCTCCCAGCCCCACCACAGCCCAGCCAGGACAGACTGGGGCTGTGACATTGTCCTCGGTCCCCACGGGGGCCTGGGCAGAGACACAGGGGACCCAATGCTGGTGACAACACTGGCACAAGTGAGATCCCCTCGGCTGGTTTCCCTTCATTTATTTATTTCCCCTCCTTTGGCTTGAGTTGATCTGATCTCTTCAGGGACACCTGGACCTGCAAGCATCACGCCTCTGAGTTTTGCAGCCTCTGCACCGTGTCGTGCGTGTGTGTGTGTGCGCGTGTGGTTTTTAATTTAATTCAAGACTCTCTTTCCATTTGTGAATCAAAGTTGGTAGAGCTGGGGGGGGAGGTGAGCAGCTGCCTTCCCAGCCTCCCCAGCCCTACACAAGAGCACAGCATGCTGTCTCAGATGTTTCTTAAATTATTTCATACATATATATTTATGTAATATATCTATATACACACACACACACATATATATATAAATATATATATATAAAAGTATATGCACAGCCAGATCCTCCTCCAGTGCAAGTGGGTGCTACTCCACTGACTTCTGAGGCCCTGAATCAATTGACCTCAGTGAGAATTTGGCCCTTAATGTTTCTGGGGCAGCATCCCACTTCCCAGCCCAGCACACAGGGCTGGTGTGGGGCACGGGGTGCTCGGGAGGTCCAGCAGAAGGGGCAGAGGTAGTTCCAGCATGAGGAGGGGATGGTGAGTGTCCTCTCCCACCTCCTCTATGCTCCTGGGGCCAAGCCAAGCCCATCTGTGGGCCCATGTTGAGCTCCCTGCATCCCTTTGGCACTTGAGCATCACCTCTCACATCTCCCAGTACATCCCAGCAGCCAGGGCTCGGTGCAGGAGCTCTTCATGGAGCAGTGGGTGCTCCACCAAAGGAACTGGCAACACAAGAGTAGGGGAGGGACTGGGCTGGAGACCCCAGCTTGTACCCTGTGGCTACAGCCAAGAGCTCTGGGCAGGAGCCCTGACCACAGGGTGCTGGGTCTGATGCATCAGTAAGGAGAGAAGTGGTGGAGGAGACCACCAAGGATGGAGAAGAACCATGGCTTGCGCAGAGCGACCACAGCAAGAGGTGGCCCTGCTGTCCTTACAGAGACCATGGACACTGTCAGCTCAGCATGAGGAAACAGGGGCAGCCAGGAGATAGGGCTGTGTGTTTCTGAAGCAGAGCAGCAGGCTGGGTTTCAGCTGCTTTGACCTGGAAAGATGGCAAATGGACCTGAGCTTGTGGCTGAGCAGACACAGGTGGGGAGAAGCAAGGCTGGTGGGGTTTTGAGGGTCCTGGCAGAACCTGGAGCTGGTTATGGGGACACACAGATGGACCCCACTCCCAGGTATCCCCCATACTTACTGGAAAGTGCACGTAGGAGGTGACACAGGTTTGACATCAGAGACAAGCCAGCCAGGGCCCAGTGAGCAGGATGGTGCTGGAGTGGGGACTGTGGCCAGGTGGGATGGGCAGGCAAGGACACTGCAGATGTCTGCAAAGGCTCCCAGGTGGCACCCAGGTCACATCCTCTCTAAAGTGAATGGTCACATCTTTGTGGACTTCACCTGAGCAGCATGGGCTTCCCCAGAGCTGGGCTGACTTTCGGGCACAGGGCTGGGGAACCTGCCACGTCCTCAGGTCCAGCAGAGCCACCAGCATCCTGCCGAGGGACATCACAGCGACTCAGCTTCACTCCATCAAACATTTAGATGGAAGAACCAACCAGCGAGGAACCCACATCGCAAACCCCGAGCTCCCTAAACCCCCTGCCCGACCCCGGACCCCGAGGAGGAGCCCGGGAAGGGGGCGGCTGCTGGCAGG